CTTATCTGCCGAAAGGAAACCGATGCAGTTCCAGGCGGCCGTTCCAGACACGTCGGAAGGACCCCGACGGGACGGAGCGCGCCGAGCAACCCCCAGCCCCACCTGGCTTTTCGACAAGCCTACGCCGATCGCCAGATACCGCCGCCGTCCGCCACCGCACCACTACCGAAAAGCTAATAAAAGCCATGAATAAAAGTGAAAGTACTGCTTTTAAAGGCCGTAAACTGTCCGCGCCCAAGATTTATAGAGAATGGCCCCCCCTTTCGTTTTATCGAGTTGTTCCTCCTCCTTGTGTGTGAAATGACGACTCGGCTTTACGGCGTCGCAGTGCTAATCATTGGTTCCGAAATAGGGGGCTCACGCGATCCGGGCGATCGACATGCCATTTCCCTTTTAGAACTCATTCCTTTGTACTTTTGTTGTTTGCGCTGACCGCCGCGGCCCGCCGTTTCCATGACCCCGCCGCGGGAAAAGCAGTTCCATCCGTGCGAACGGAAAACCTTGCCGAAAGTTCTGCAGCTTTACCATTTTTGAACGGCAAGTCAGACCCATTTTCTCCGCTCACTGCCAGCGTGCGGTCCAACCACTCAGCTCAGGAGTGTGCGCAGGATTAATGATTGCTAGTGACCACCAACAAAAACACTCAAGAAACTGTAATATTGGCCAGCTAAGAGCATTTTTTGGCCTATTTTCCTAAGAAAAACCCCCAAAATCCTCAAAAATCAATTTCAAAGCCAGTTTTGGCTTGTGATTAGTGATTACTGCAGTAATTAATGGACGAAGTGTACACACGATTTCCAGAGTGGTGGACCCCTCGACTGCCAGTCACGCTGATAAATATTTTTTTCGATTTTTTGGCGGGTACTTTCAACCAAATTCACACCTCAAATTTTTTATGCGTACACCTTTTTTCACGGTGTGTGCGCGTGTGAGGCTGTGTGGGCCGCCCTTCCCTGCTCACTCCCTGCGCCTCCACGGCGCGGCCTGGCGTGGCGCGGCGGGGCGATGGGTGACGGCGTCGTACTCGGCGTCATTCTCGCCCGGCGGCCGTTTGGGCCGTTTGCAAGATGGCGTCATGGCGCTCGCAGTTGCCAAGATGGCGCCGCTCGACGCTTACACAGTCGCCGCGCCTCTCGCCGGCTCATTTTGCCGCTCGGCCCGCACGGCGAGGCTGTGTGGCCGGTACGCACTCCGGAATAGCCCCCTCACGACGACGGGGACGACGGGACTCCCTCGGCCCTCGCAAGCGCGGGGGCGGGAAAAAAATGTTTTGAATTCTGCAGAAAGGGAAACAAGTTCTAAACGTCCGCGTGACTGTTCCGTCGGCAATACTCGTGACTGTAACGAGCCTCGGCGTGTGACGCAACGCCCGAGTCGGGGGGGGGGGGGGGGGGAATGTCCGCAAAACGGCCCCGGAACGGCCGTCGCCCTTTCCCTTTTATGAAATGTTTTGACTAAGTCACGCGGAGAGAGGGCGGCCCGGCACGCCGCGGCACGCGCATTCCATGCCCAACTTTTGCCGCCCAAAATCCCCTCGGCGTGTCGCTTTATCGGCCGTCCAGCCACTGTGCTGCGCAGTGCTGCCACGGCGCGAATATTTCCCCCGCAAGGCGCTATGGGGCCCATCCACTCCGCTTCCACGGCGACGGAAAAAATATCCGACGGCGAAATAAATTTATTGAACTTTACTGCAATGACGACGCGAGAGAAAGGAAGAAAAAGTGGCAACACAAGTTGAGAAATAAATTAAAACGGCAGGGGGAGGGTGAGTGACTCTGGCGGGGCGCCCCGATAGCGGAGGCATCATTCTTGCGCACCCTCTCCTGTCACCCTCCCCCGCCAGTGGCCCCGCAGCGGCCCGGCAGTCCCGGCATCGCCTCACAGGTCCCTCTGAGATTTCAACGGATTGCCCACCGCACTGCCGCATCTGCCGAGACCGCGCCACGCCGGCAACGCCTGTGGCAACGCCCCGCTCCCTCTGGAGCGCCCTCTCACAGCAGAAGGGCCGGTCCAGAGACCCGCCGCAGACTCGACTACAAACCATCAGCAAGATCTAGCAAATAGTGTATGGCATGGGTCCCCAGATGGCGCGCCGGAACACACTGGAGTTTGCTGCGGGGCTGGAAAGCGCAGATATGTCGCGCTGGAGAATGAGAAGAAGCAAACTGGAGGAACGAGCGGGGCCACTGCCAAAAAAAAGGCGAAAAGGCGAAATCCTTTTTCCAGGTAGTGGATGGTTTTGCGGTGTCGGAGTTGGCTGTGCTGCCGCGTCGCCACCCCCTGCATGGCTGCCACCCCGCCCCCCGCCCCGCCCGGCCTGCCTATTCCAACTTTGGCCACCCCCTTTGTCTGGGGGAATTCACAATGAGGCGAACAAGTGGCGGGATGGCTGCTAGCGCCGCTGGCGCTGCGTTTGCCGCGCTTGCTGCGCTCCTCCGGTCGTTCCCCGAATTTCCGCGCCGTCGTCCTCACCCTTGCCGCCCTTGGCGCCTGCCTCCGGTACTGCCAGTGTACTGCCCAAGACGCCGTTGGCCCTCATCGAGGCCCTCATCGAGGCCCTCATCCAGGGCGGCATTTTCCCCGGCGATGTATGTGGCCGGCGCTATCGCACCGCGCCTGGAGGGGTGGGAGGCAAGGGTTGCGGTGCTGACGCGCCGTGCCCCCGAAGCGCGCAGCGAACGCAGCGAAGCGCGGCCCGACGCATTCCTGGGGCGTGTGGTCTCCGTACGCCTCTCGGCCCGCCGGAATTCGACGCTGTCAAATTCCTCTGATATAGGAACGGGCGAAAATATGTGCGAGAACTGGCTGACCTGCCTGCCGGCGGCCGCATCGTCTGCGCCTCGCTCCGCCTCGCCGTCCGTCCGTCCGTCTGCCGCGAGCTTTATCTGTTCCGGATCAACAACCCCCAGCCCTGCCAATTTCCTCCGGCCGCCGTAGTGCCTCTGTCTGTCTCTCTCGCTCTCACGGCGCGCCGCAGCCAGCCCGGCACGGCGACGGCTGATCGATCAATCGTCGCGGCAGTGCCCTTGAAGCATCAGCACATTACCATCAACCCCCTCGTGAGGCCTCATCATCCGCCGCCAGAACCATCGGCCGCCATCCGCCGCCATCCGCCCCCCGCCGAGGACACGCTAGATGACGCCCCGCGAGCAGTTCACACCGACAAAAAATATCAAAACGAGAACCGTAAAGCTGAGGCTAAAGTTGCCAGTGTTTGAATTTCAACTTAAGATTGGTTGAGAATTTGTTTGCCTAAACCTCCACGATCCACCGGGGGACCGCTGAGCAGCGTAATCGGAAATGCCAACGCTCTCAAGACATAAACCGGCACTTCCGGACACCCTTCGCTAACGGTGCTGGCCGTGCTGGCCACGATTGGAGCGTTTTCTCGTAACTGCGGGCTCGGGAAGGACCATTGAAAGATGAGCAACGATTTCTTCCATGCCGCCGGATTGCATTTATCTGCGGGTACCCGCGTCAGCCCGTCGGCGAATCGCCCCGACCAACAGGCGCTCTTCCTTCCCCCGACGCTTCTGCCTCACTCTTCCCCGCTGCCGATGTCGCGGCGGGGCGGCAAACGCGCCAAAGCAGCAACGGATAACACGCCATCATCCCGCGCTTGCTTTTTTATTTGCTTATTGACCTGCGCTAAGGGGAGCCTGGTTGCCCCGGCGGCCGCGCTCATTGGTCCGTAAGTCGCCCTGGCCGCCGCGGCAGTTACGCGGTTTCGGCGCGCCGCTTTCCGCCCCGGCGGCGCCGGCCGGCGAAGCTTGACGCAAAGCGCGCACCGCGCATTATGTGTGCGTGACGTGTTTACGGGCCGCGCCATCACACTGTTACGGCCGGCGTGTTGTCTATGGTGATGAATCGGCGGCGGCGGGGATGAGAGTTCGAGACCGCGGCCTGCCTGCCGGCCTGCCCGGCCTGTATGGGCACGCCGTCGGCCCCTCCCCCTTCCCCTCGCGGGGATTTCTCCCTTATTTTTTGCGGTCGTAAAAGGAATGAAAACAAAGATTTTTGCATGCAGATGCATTCGGTGAACGCGCTTTCGGTTCGAATGTGTGCGTCATTCCCCCGTGTCCATTATCAACAATTCGTGAGTTTGGTCCTTTTCATCCTGTAATATACATTTTTCTGCAATGCGAATTTCCTTTTCAGTAGTCGTTAACCTCTTCTTGCCGCCCATAGAGCCTCGTCATTTGTAGTACCATTGTCCTGTTGGGTGTCCTGCAGTGACGTGAAAGTCACGTCGAGTGCGGTTGCGGTGCAGACGACGATTCCCCCTCCCCCCTCCCCCCACCCGGCCACCCTTCAATGGCAAGACAAAGAGTCTGTCACTGGTCCACTGTGCTGCTGCCATGCCAAATCAGGCGCCGGCAAGTGTGAACTGAGGTCCAGAGAGGCGCCTCTGGGCCCACTTTCAACAAAAGAACAGCGTTAAAATTTATTGCGGATCAATTTCCTGTTATTTTTTGTAATTTTTATTGCACCGCAAAGACGAAATAAATTTTTATCAGGAACATTAACAATTTACTAATTTTCACCAGTGGCCCGTTTCAAAGAAATAAACTCCGGTTTTGGAGGCAATTAAAAATGCCGTCCGATGCGAGCCGTTTTCAATAACTGATTGGCTGCAGGGCGACGATCAGGCTGCCCCGATAATTGCCGGCGGCTCGGACCGCGCCGCGTCCGGGCGCGATGGCGCTGTCCTTGTCGCGCCCCCAGTGTGGTGGCCGGTGCGACGCAGACGGGGACTGTTCCCAAACGCGCCTGGTTTCGACAGCCGGCCGTATACATCGAGAGGGCGGGGGAGGGGGGTGGGGGGCGTGAGGAACAATTAATGCCCAGACCGGCGCTGCTGGCGATGTCAAATGTCACAGCGGCCCTGCGCGCCGTTCGGGCAGCCACACAGAATCTACGATTTCGGGGAAAGACTGGAAGGGGCAGTGAACCCGTTCGTTAAAAATATCCTAACCGTGTGTTTGTTCTTTTTGTTCCAGAACGGATTCTCACTGAGTGCAGCAAGTGGTGTCGGTGAGTTTAAAATTCGGCAGTTCAAGCTGGGCGTCGCCCGCACTTCCGGGACGACTTTCGGTTTCATTCACTCTCGTTCTCCGGAAGCGGGCGTGCTTCCGTGCCGGCGAGTGAAAGTGTCCTCGAAATCACAATAAAACATTTACGCCAAGACACCGGCGTATACCTCTGCCGCCCCCGCAAGGCCACAGCCAGGACCTCGTGACTTCGCGTCTGTCACACAGGGCGTGTTTGTTTTCATGTTAGTAGGTAAACGACCTTTAGTGCGTTTTTATGTCGGTTTGGCGGCGGCCCGCCCCGCCCCGCCCCGCCCCCGCCGCCGGCTGGTGTTCATTTCACACGTCATTCTCGGGGACAATGAACGTACTCAAAATCAGTGGCGAGCCCCTAATGTTTACCATCTTTTCAACGCGCCGGCCGCCGGGCCGCGGCGGCGGGAGCGGGCCGGGTGGTGGGGGAGCGTCATCATCGGCGCCGCGTTTGCGAATCTGACCGCAAGATGGCTCTCGCGTCGCCGCCGGGCGGCCGCCGTGCGACGAGGACGGCGAGAGGCGAGCCGCGCCGGGCGGGAGCGAGAGCGCGGCGTCTCCCCCCGGCCCACCCGGCGCACCCGGCCCGGCGGGCGCGCCAGACAAGGACGGGGAGAGCCCGTCTCGCCGGCGGAGCGACGAGGACGCCAGTCGGGCCGGCGAGCCGCCGAGGCCGGTCGCGCGGCGCGCTCATTCATCGGGCACCGGCGAGCGCTCTGATTGGCTGTCGCTTCCCGGCCGGCGTCCTGATTGGTCGGCTGGGCCGCGCGCGGGAGGGGCGGCCGCGGTGGGCGGCCATGGCAGCGGCAGCGAGGCAGCCTAGCGCTTACGCCATTATTCTAAGGGGTTACATTTTAGGTGAGAGAGAACAAGTATAGTTGTACGGGGCAATAGTTGGGATATACAGCGATCATAAAGGATTGGAAGACGCTGCCGTAGTGACGTTGTGTTGCGAGCGTGAGCGGAGCGTGCGGCGCGCCCAGTGCGCAGTGCGGAGCGAGCGTGAGCGGCCTGCGAAGGCGTGCCGAGGCCTGCCGAGCGTGCGGCACCGAGACGCCCAGCCCAGCGACGCCCAGCGACGCCCAGCGACGCCCAGCGACGCCCCAGCCCAGCGCGGCAGCGCGCCGTCCCAGGAATTAGTGCATTGTTAGTGGTGCGAGCGAGCGGTCGGTGCGGTCGGAACCGAATCCAAGTGACCAGTGTGAGTGCAGTGCAGTGCAGTGCAGTGAAAAGTGCGTTTGTGCCGGCCCGCGCCAGGATGGCTCGACGGGGACCCCAGGCCGCCTTGTGAGGTGTGCTTCCTTCGCCGTCGTCCAGCGCGCCGCGTGGGATCATGACGTCCAAGTTCATCATCGATAGCATGCTCCCCAAGTACCACCAGCAGTTCCAGCAGCACCACAGTCAGTTAGGCCTCCTGAACCCCGTCATCACCTCGTCGTCCACCGACTCGTCCAGCCTTGGCTCCGTTGTCAACTACTCGTCCACGTCGTCGTCCTCCTCGCCGCCGCCCAGTGCCGCCCTCGTCAGCTCCAGGATGTACCCGTACGTGTCGGCCGCGGCCGCGCACCACCACCACCAGCAGCAGGCCGTGGCGGCGGCCGCCTTCGGCGCCTCCTCCATGGTGCCGGCCAGCTTCACCTCCTCGTCGACGGCCGCCCTGGCCGCGGCCGTGGACGCCGCCTCGGCGGCCGACAAGTCTTGCCGGTACACGGCCGCCCTCACCGGCAACGTGGGCACCCCCGACTCCATGGTCAACTATGCGTTAAGTGAGTACCCAAGCCTTTCGTCCAAGAAAAGGCACCTTTTCGTGACGTGCATGTGTAGAGGTTAGGTCTGCGCCTGTCTCGTTGCCGCACTTGCATGTATGCAGCTAAAGGACCCACAGTTTTCTTCTTTGCCGGAGAAAGGAGTGACGAAAATTGCTTGTTTTTAATAAGAAAAAGAAGTAGAAAGTCTGCCTGCGATTATATGCTAACTTAATGCAAAAATTCGGAAGCTGTTGGTATTTGATTGCCCTGTCAGGAGTCAAGCACTGGTCACGCGGCTAGTCCATAAACGACTGCCATTAAAATTACGTTGTGTGACAATGGTCCTGGCCGCGCCAAAGCAGCCGTTTAGGCACGCACCTTGGCTATTGTGCAGTTCCAATTATTGTCGGTTTACGGCTTCGGTTTATTGCCCTAATCATGGGAAAGTCCCCACAAGACGGTTGTCATAGATTTCTCTGCACTCAAAATGAGTGATTACGGAGTGCTCTGAAGGCATAAAGATGCAAACAAAGTAAAATGGCGATTCTGAGTGAACTCGCTTCGCCACATGCAGAGGTCGTAAAGCCTTATCAATTCAATGACAGTTCGAAGTCCGGTAATTGTGCGGGCCGTCGTCTTGTAATGACCCCACAGTCTTCGGGAACGCACGCTCGATTTAATGGCGCCTGTTCTAGTGCCAGTTAGGAAGCTAATTATGCTTTTGTGAATATGCATGATTGTCCCTCTACCGTGATTTGTTCGTCAGCTAGCTACTCCTAGACCGAATGCTTTTATGACGAAACGGAATGCAAATGAGTCTTTTTATTTCAAAAGTAATTAAAACTGACAAATTTGTCTAATACTCCTACCTTCAGTCAATTTCATTTAATGAGCCACTGTTTGAATTAACTGACAGCTCATTTCAAATGCATAGATTTTCGCTTTTATTTTCTTTCTAGAATGGTTTACTTCAAAGTCTTAAATTTAAATTAGGGCTTAAACTTATTCAGCTCCAAGCACCTGCAGGAAGTTGCTGTCAAAGATCAATTGCTGTCAATGAGTAGAACTGGCTTGCCACTGTAAATAATTGTTCTAGGGCATGGAAAGGAGACGCAAACTAGAAAATTCACTGTTTTTTTTTAATGTTTATTTCGAGTTTGAACAAGTCGGTCTGAACGGCACGGTGTTGCTTCCCTGGCTGCAGGTCATCAGAATGGCTCCTCGGTGTCGGCGAACTCGGTGTCCGCGGCCTCGGCGTCCATGGCGGCGGCCGCGCAGTTCTACCACCAGGCCGCCGCGGCCTCTGCAGCTGCCGACCCTCTCAACAGCTGCTCGCAGCCGGGGGCGGCGGCAACCCAGCCCCTCCCGGACATCCCGCGCTACCCCTGGATGTCCATCACAGGTAAGCAAGCACCCTGAAACAGATAAAACAGCGATTTGAAAAAAAATTGTTTGCATGGATAAAGACGGCCCCTTTGTTTCCACAGACTGGATGAGCCCCTTCGACCGAGTCGTATGTGGTAAGTGGAGTTCAAGATTTCTGAAACTTTGGTCTGGACCTTGGCAAAAAGCATCTGTGATCAGTAGTCATTTTGTTAAAACGCAAGCAACGCATGACAGCCCGGTAGAATGCCATTCGAACGGCATCTCAGTGCGCAAATGAGGCAAAGTTGCAGCCGCTCTGGCCTGGTGTCAGCACCTTGCTCGCAGCGGTTCTTTTAATGTGAATTTCTCATAGCGGTGCAGCCTGCGACTGGCTGCCCCTCTCAGGCCACTCGTAGTGGCCGTCATTCCGAATAATGTAACGCTGCTAAATTACTAGTTGCCATCATCAGGCCAAAGCGGCCGTTCACTTTGCCTTATTTCCACAATCCCACATTCCTTCGGCTTGTTATTATTTTTATTTTACCCTTTCTGCACGCTGGTAGTTTGAGCGCTTCCCTGGGTGGTGGCTGCGTGTGCGAATGTGCGAGAATCCTGCATGTGAGTGACTGCGTGCGTGTGAGACCGTCCGTGCGTGCGTGTGTGTGTGTGTGGTGTCTGTAAGTTTCTTGTCCTTGACACTCCCCCTTGCAACTTGTCTCTGTCTATCATTGTGTGCGAGAGAGACGGAAGTGGCCCGCGCCACTGGAATGTCGACCTTGGCTAGACCGACGCCCCCTTTGCACATGTTCCGGGGGCCGGAGAAGCTTTCCTGCAGCAGTTCCATCTCGAGCCGGATTCCAAATCTCATACGATTTCTCAAGCGCCGCATCGGGCATGCTGTGCTCCTGGCGACTGATTCCACGTTGACACTCTGTCTCGCCACGAGCGCGAGAGACACAGAACAGGGTGCGGCTCCGCCGGCTTATCGGCATGCATCGTTCCAGGCCTGACCTGGGACAACGTCGGCTGCACTTTGCATGCAACTGCAGCGGTCCTGCTAGTCTGCCTCGCCGCCCTGGCCGCCGCGCCCGCCAGTGGCAGCGCGATATACGGGGGCACAAATCTGTCTGCCGATGCACGCACGGTGCAGCGCGGCGCAGCGTGCACGGGATGGCTTTATCCGGCATGCCGTTCATCTCGGGTCGTCTGGCCGCGCTGGTTGGCTGGCTGGCTGGCTGGTTGGCTGGCCGGGCCGCGGGGACGCCGGGACGACCGGGACGGACGTAATATGTGATATGATGTCGTTGCTCCCTGGCGTGCCGTCCCAGGGCGAGCCGCGGGCAAGCCGCGGGGAAGCCGCAGCGCAGGCATGGCCCAACAGAACGCAAAAACCGCCAAAAACGTCGCCGCGACGATGTATCGCGAGCGGCCTGGGGACGCTTTGCAGCGCTGGCTGCAGACTCACTCCGCTTCTCTCTGACGCAACGAGTGCGAAAGAGACGGGACGACGGAAGCGACTGACTGCCAAGAGAATCGGCCTGCAGTCGGGACGCAGAGATTCGCGAGCAACAACAGAGTTGCTCCATTTTGCAGTGTGCCACCCCGACGGCTTGTCGCCGCGATTCGCACGTCGCCCATCCATCGCCCACGCAGACAGACGGCCGGCCCGTCTTGGCGACCGGCCGCGCTGACCCCGCCCCGCCTCGCCCCGCCCCACCCCGCCCCGCCACTTGTCCGTCACGTAGTGCGACCTCGTCGCGTCACGTAGAGGCCGTGACACTGCGCGACAGCGTGACGTGTTGCGCAACGGGTATGAAAAATCGCCGCTGAGCTCGCCCGGCGAAGAACAAAATTCGGAACAAGTGAGTGTCTCGCCGTGCTTCTCGCTAACGCCCACCTGCTGTGTCCCCGTTCCTTTGATGCCGTGTGCGATATCCCCCGCCAGGTGAAATTCTTTTGGGCCAGCAGGGCCAACGTGGTGGCCGAAGGCGCGGCCGGCAGGGCACCGGCCACAAAAAAAAAATCAACAACCAAAAGGGATGGCCAGATAAAAGGATTGCCTTCCGCACCCCTTTCCCTTGGCGACAATGAAGGACATCCCAGTGTGCTGCACTGGGTGCACTGGGTGGTGCACTGGGTGGTGCACTGGGTGCCGTCAGCGAAAGTGGCCGCGCCACGCAACCGTCCCTTTTGTCCGACTCGGCGCAAAAACAGTGCGACTCCGGGCCGAGGCGTGGACCCGACGCGCGATGCACACTCTGGCTCAACAACTGAGCAGAGCGAGCATAGCGCAGCGGCCATCCTGACGAGCGATAATTGTCCGGCCGCCCGCACAGATCGGCGTAACTGCCGCGGAGTCGCGTGCGAGATACGCCGCTCTGCCCGCCGCCCGTTCAAGTGGTGCCCCGATCGCGCACGCACGCAATTGAAATTTGTCGCGGACTGACCCTCGCAATTGGCCCGCGCCTTTCGAGCCTTTTGTCGGCGACTGTCGGCATAGGCGATGCCGGCCCGCATCAGGGACGCGTCATGACTGCCATGGCGGTGGTTACGAACGCTTGCGGCTAATTTTTACTGCGGACCGATTCCAAACAAGCGCCTCTGTCTCTCTCGCACCCCCTATGGCCACACCATGAGTGCGAGAGAGACAGGGCAGGGCGACGAAAGCGACGTTGGGAGTCGGCAGACTGCAGGCACACTGCGAACAGCGTATCTTGTCTGTGATTTCCGCAGACATAAGCCGTTTCGCCTGGCGGATCGGCGATTCATTGAAGGGCTGCAATCAGGGCTACCTTTGTCTCGCCGAGGTTCGCAAGAGCCGCGGCACGGCCTTCTCTCTCTCTCTCTCTCTCTCTCTCTCTCTCTCTCTCTCTCTCTCTCTCTCTCTCTCTCTCTCTCTCTCTCTCTCTCTCTCTCTCTCTCGCATTGCCCGCGGTGCTTATTACCCCCGCTTTGCACCAAATAAACCATGCAGCCGCAAATAACGCCCTGCCCCCCTGCCCCCCGCCCCGCCCCGCTCGGACAGGCCGGCCGCTCGTATATCGTGTGTCTCGTTTTATATCACTCCCATCGCTCTTTTGCGTGTGTGCGGATCATAATACATCACGTTGAAATTACGCGCGCGCCGCCTTTCGGCTTATCCGCCAGCGCCTTGCTATCGGCGGGGCAGTGGCGCGGCGGGGCGCGGCGGGGCGCGGCGGGGCGCGGCGGGGCGCGGCGGGGCGCGGCGGGGCGCGGCGGGGCGCGGCGGGGCGCGGCGGGGCGCGGCGGGGCGCGGCGGGGCGCGGCGGGGCGCGGCGGGGCAGTGGCGGGGCGCGGCGGGGCAGCGGCGGGCCTTGTTTGACTGCCGAACTTCATAATGTCGGACTTTTATCGCCTTGTCTGTAAATTACGGGCCCGCCGTGACATAGGTCCGCACTGCACCGCCCTGTGATTTAGGTGGACGCGTAAAACACGGAATCCGAAATCCATGACCGCCGCGGCGGCGGCAGCTTCTTCTTTTATTTCAAAACGATATTTATTTTTCTGGGACTCGGCGGGCTGTGATTTCGGGGCTTTTGACTCACACTCGATGTGAGCACTGAGAGATTCCCCCCCCCCTCCCCGGTCGCCCAGTCCACCCACCCACGTAGATCGCGATAGCTGGCTGAGCTCATTGTTTGAAATTCATAACATACGGAACGAAAACGTCTCTGTACCGAGTCTGGCTGGAGTGCTTGTTGTTGTGCGCCGCGGGCCGCCCGACACCATTATCAGTGCGTGTGAATGTGCGCAGAGACTTCCCCTGCACTTTTCCTTGTTGTTGTTGCTGGGCGGTACGCGGCGCCAATGGTGAACTCGTTCACCCTGCACTTTTCCTTGTTGTTGTTGCTGGGCGGTGCGCGGCTCCGATGGTGAACTCGTTTCATTCCGTCCAATCTCTGCGCCCCCGCGGCGCGGCGCGGGCGGCGCGCACACCTCGGGGCGGCGATAGGCGGCGCAGCACTCGTATTGATAACGCGTTCATTACCACGCGCGCTGTGCGTGGGGTGCGTGCGTTTCGCAGCGCTCCTCGGGGCCGTGGCGGACAAGTCTGCGCCGTTCTGACTTAATTTCGTTCGTCGCACAAAAGGAGGTGCGGGTTTCCGTCCAGACAGTCTTTGTGTCTGAAAACCCAAATTCGCAAAAGGAGGGCCGAGCGTCCTTGGCTGTAATTAATTCCGCGCTCGGAGTTGGCGGAAAGAAGAGAGGGGGGGGGGGCACATGTGTCATCTGTGCCACTCTTTTTTCTGTCTGTCCTTTTGTGCGTCGTCGTGGTCGTCAAGGCCGGCCCTGTTGTGGAAGGGGTGGTGGGCAGGGGGGTTTGTTGGCCCCCTCGTCCTTGGCCCACACCATTTGCCGAACGCACTGTTAGCTCATTAAGTATTCACTGCCGATGGCGAATTTCGCCAGCGTTTCTGCCCTCCCCGAGTCGAGCGAGCTCCACAACAGCAAGTGGCCGTTCCTTTGCGTGTCAACCCACGCGTGTCTTGATTCCGACATTACAAGCCTGTCTGTGTGTCTTTTTGGCCGACTGTCTGTCCGTTTGCCAGTCTTGTCTGTCTGTCTGTCGTGTGTCTGTCTGTTCTTCCTTCTGTGCACCCGCCTCTCGGTGTCTGTCTGTTCGTCTGACTATCTGTTCGTCTGCCTGTGTGTCGCTCCGCCCGTCTGTCTGTCTCCAAGACGCGAGCTGGCACCTTGGGCCCTTCGGGAGACCATCGGGACGTCATTGCATCCCTTTGTTGGCCGCCGTGCTGCGCCGCGCTGCGTGGCGGCCGGTCGTTCGCGCTCCGTTACGGCGCCATCGTTTTAATTTATTAGAGAATTCAACTCCCCCCCCCCTCGGCCCCCGCCCCTTACGCACGCCAACGCGCCGAGTAATATTATTATTAGGTGAGTCAGTTTGTGTATAGTTCATTTCGTATACGGCCGGCCCGCCGCCCTCGCGCCTCGCGATTGCACGTGTGTGTGTATGTGTGCGTGTGTGTGTGTATGTGTGTGTGAGCGTGTCGGTGTGAGAGTGTGTGCGTGTGTGCGTGTCACGTGTGTTACGGTCGAGGGGCTCCGCAACGAGCGGCGGGCATTGTTAACTAAAATGTCCAAGCGGCGATCAAACATGCGGCCGTCCAGATAGGCG